ACTGAGCTGGGCTGGGCTGGCTTGAGAGGGTCTCCTGTCAGCTGCACGTTGTGTAGACCTGGTTCCTTGCTCAGGTGCTTTCCTTGTGAGTCAATTCTGAGGCTCAGCTGAAGCCAGTTTGGCTCAGTGGATAGAACTTCGGTCTGCGGACTGAAAAGTCCCACGTTCGATTCCGGTCAAGGGCATGTGGGGGTGTGCAGGAGGCAGCTGATTGATGTTTCTCTCTCATCAATGTTTCTTACTCTCTATTCCTCTCTCTTTCTCTCTGTAAAGAATCAATAAAATATAAAAAAATTTAAAAAATTCTGAGGCTCAGCTCGAAGGGGCAGTAGCTACCTGGGGAAGCTCTTTGGGTAGCAATGGCAGTGATATAGGAGGGCAGATAGACTTCATACCCCTTCAGCAGACTGTCTGTGCCAGTCTGCTACCCTCCCATTATCCAAAGCAAGTCACTTGGTGGAGCCCAAGGTCAAGGGGCAGGACTGCCAAGTCATGTGGCAGACAGCATGGGTATGCAGAGGTGGAGGTGAATGGATGCTAATGATTCAATCTACCACAGCTGCCCACACAGTATGCTTGTAAATTAATGGGTGTATGTGTGAGCATGCAATTTATGGAGGTACTATTATTAAAAACTATAAAGAAATTAGATGTACCTTGTAAACATATAGTGTTTCTATGCTCGTGGAAGAGTCAGACAATTAAAAAAAAAAAGACAAAAACAACTACGTAAAGGGATGTTAGAATTGATTTCATTGACTCTGGACACATTATAAGTCTCTTGGGACAGATTCAACATCTTTCTCTAGTTAAAAAAAGATGTTCCCTTGTCCTTGAAGTTTCTTTAGCTCACAGAATTTGAAATCATGCAGAAACCAATTTGGCTCAGTGGATAGAGCGTCGGCCTGCGGACTGAACGGTCCCGGGTTCGATTCTGGTCAAGGGCATGTACCTTGGTTTCGGGCACATCCCCGGTAGGGGGTGTGCAAGAGGCAGCTGGTCCATGTTTCTCTCTCATCGATGTTTCTAGGTCTCTATCCCTCTCCCTTTCTCTCTGTAAAAAATCAATTATTAATATATATATATATATAAAGAATTTGAAATCACATCTTATTCTTCTAAAACGGTATTCAGTCCAGCAATGCCACGAGCTTGATGTCAGCTCTATCACTGTTTAGGATAGTTAAAAAAGACGGGAAGCCACGCAAGGGAAGAGATTAGTTATGTTAGGGTGCTGTGAATGCGGATGGTAGCATTCTTCCTTTACCTTTTCTGAAGTGTCACGTGGGTAGTGCAGCTCTCCTAGGTCTGAGCATCTGACGACGACGACGATTTTCAAGTTAATTAAAATCATAGGAAAATAGTCTTAGGCACCGTAGCACTCTCTCTTTCTACACCCAGTAGATTCTTAGGGATTTTGCTGGCAACTTTGAGAATAGTTAACCTTAGTGGCCTTGAGTTTCCTGGTCTTGGTTGTCCCTGGTTCTGCTCTTTTACTCTGCCACCTTGTGGATTTTTTGGGAAATTGCATCTTCTGCTGTGAGCCCTACTGACTCACCTGGTTGATCTGTCTGCTGCTGCTTTTCCTGGGAGGGAGAGGAAGAGTGGAAGAGAATTCTCCCCACCGGAGGGACATCACAACAAAGTGACTTTGCTTTTTTAGTTTTTCCATAGCACTCCCCTCCCCCTGTGGAGCAATGTCCCTCAGGGGCCCGGCTGATGGGCATTTGAATGGCCCTGCCAGTATCACACCCGAAGGGCCATCTCCCCTGGGGACCTTGATCCATAATCCCAGGGTGGGATACAGGCCCTTGACTTTCTCCAGTTCTACCTCTCCAGTTCACGAGAGGTTCCTCCTTTTTTTTCAAATTAGGAAAGTAATTGAATCTTACTTAGAGCTTACAGTCCAGTCAAAGAGACAGATTTAAAAAAATATACAAATAAAGACAATATTTACACCTTGTGGTGAGTGCAGTGAGATAGTAATGGTGGTGGGGTAGGGTAGGGAACTTTCATTGAGTAGGCTGGTAAAGGTAGGCTTGCCTGAGCAAGAGACATTTCAAACTGAAACCTGAAGGATGAGAAGGATCCAGAGGGAGGAAGAGCATGTGCAAAGGTCCTGAGGTGGAAAAGAACTTGTTAGGTTGAGAGTAACTAAGTGTGACTAGATTGGCGTGAGCTGGAGGGGAGTTATCTGAATGGGGTTGGGAAAGGCAGCAGGCACAGGTGACACAGCTCCTTTTTTTTTTTTTTTAAATAATTTATTGGGGTGACATTGGTTTGTAAAACCATACAGGTTTCAGGTGTACAGCTCAACAAACCATCAACTGCACACACATTTTGCACCCATTGCCCAAAGCAGGGTCTCTTTCAATACAGGGTCTTGTGGGGCTCAGTAAGGATTCTGATTTTGTGAGAAAAATTCTTTTCTATCTCTTCAAAATAGTTTTTATTCAACAAATGTAAGTAAATGTAATATACAAAGGAGATTGACTAGTAAACCTCGTTCTGACAAATAAGGCATTTCAAACTTTAGCAAAAAACAACAACAAACATCTTTTATCCATTTGACTACACTTTGGTTCCTGTTGCCTTCAGTAGGTTTACTTATAAAATTAGTACTATACTATCTCCTTATTGGCTATTTTACTTTCTGAAGTTTGTTACCTATGGCCAATAGTGGTCCCGATATATTAACTGGAAAATTCCAAGATTAACTAATTCATAACTTTTATTTTCTTATTTTTTAAAAAAATATTTTTTAATTGATTTCAGAGAGTAAGGGAGAGGGATAGAGAGATAGAAATATCAATGATGAGAGAGAATCATTGATCGGCTGCCTCCTGCACGCCCCCTGTTGGGGATGGAGCCCACAACCCAGGCATGTGCCCATGGCTGGAACTGAATCTGGGATCCCTCAGTCCACAGGCCGACGCTCTATCCACTGAGCCAAACCGGCTAGGGCTATTTTCTTATTTTTTTAAACATGTAAGATTAATTTTTCTCATTAAAACTTTTATTTTATTTTTCAATTATAGTTTGCATTTAACATTCTTTTATGTTAGTTTCAGTAGTACGGCACAGCAGACATTCATAGAGGTTACAAAGTCTAGACCCATGCTGGTTAGTGTGGTAGCAATGAGCCACATGTGGCCACTGAGCATGTGAAATATGTAAGTGTGGAATATAATACATACCAGATTATGAAGACATGCTACAAAAAAAAAAAGTAAAATAACTCATTTATAATTTGTTGATCTTAATTACATGTTGAAATAAGAATATTTTGGATATTTCATGTGAAATAAAACATAATAGAAAAAGTTTCATGTGTTATTTTACTTAAAAAAATGTGGCTATTAGAAAAATGTGAACTACACATGTGGCTTCCATCTGATCACATTATGTTTTTATTGGACAGTGTTGATATAAACAAAAGTTACTGAGTGAAAAAAACACTTTGTAGTAAAATTACATTGGACACTAGAAATTTCTAGTTACATCTAAGCTGTTTTTTCTGGTTTACAAAAGATGATGTTTATTTGATAGGACGATCCAGTTAGTGTTTGATCCAATCACAAGGAGGAAAAAAAAAAAAAAAACCCAACAAGTTGACAATGTACATTAAAAAAACCAAGATGTTTAATGTGACAAATATGTTTCTAAAATAATGCCCCTTCAATTCCTCAGTTTTTGAAAACTGTATAAACACAGAAAAACATTAATAGTCACAGAATACATAAAACCAAACATCTAATTTTGGGCAAATTAACATACGAGGCAACTTGGCTAACAATGTATGTTTTTTTTTTTCTTGCTTCCAAGCTCTTCAAACTATCTCTATATCAACAGAGTGGGCAGAACATTTGGATTTCATATCAGTTACACAGCATTAGCATAAATTCAGACAATACCGAGAGAGGATTGTTTTCTTTTGAACTGGCAAAGTAACCACAGAACCATCAGATCACTGCTGTGAATTGAGAATTTTATCCCCCCAAAAGTCACATACTGTCCAGGCATACGTTTGCAATACATTTAATAATTCTTTTATGTGATATTGTTAGGCAATTTATTTATTTTTAAAAAAATATTTTATTGATTTTTAGAGAAAGAGTAAGGAAGAAGGATAGCTGGCAACTTCGATGAGAGAGAAACATCATCAATTGGCTGCCTTCTGCAAACTCCCCTGTCTCCTCCCTAACCCCCCACTGAGGATTGAGCCCATAACCCGGGTATGTGCTCTAACCAGGAATCAAACCAGTGACCTCTTGGTTCATGGGTTGACGTTCAACCACTGAGCCACACTGGCTGGGTAGTAGGCAATTTAAATTGAAAGGACTTTAGCTAATTGAGATTTTATTGTCTTTGAAAAAATAAATGGCATGGTATATGGCTACTTACAGTTTTATGACAGAATATTGCACAAGGCTCTATTTCAGCATCCATAATATGTGCACCTGGATATGGTTTCACCTGTCGGAACCTCACTTCCTTTATGTGAAAGGGAGATGGAAAACAATTTTCACCCTCATGGCGCCCCTTGCTAATGTCCCTGCCTGCCTCTGAAATGACTGGGAAAATCAAATTAGATTGGCGAAGGGACTTTGAAAAAAATGCCCTAAGATACGCAGATGTCAGAGATGCTTCATTCTCTGAGAAACAGGCACATACCCTGAAGCTGCAGGTGAAAACTCAAAACTCCTGGATGAGGAACACAGATCTGTGCAAGTGACACGCGTGTCGCATGCTGCTTTCTCCAATTCGAGCTCTGCAAGTCCTATTACGGACGGATAACTTCCTGCCTCAGGATGAGCATTCAGAGGAGGATATTTTCGTGGTCATATTAAAAACTCAGGGTCAGATGCACTTAGCATCACACTGGTCAGCGCTGCCAGTCAAAGCATAAACAAGCCTGGGGCCGGACCCGGCTTCCTTCAAATAGGCTGGCTCACGGGGTGCGACTCATTCTGAGCAGGCGGAGTGGGGAACGAGGCAGGATGAAGACGTTATTTGTGTTTGCGCTCTTGCTCACCTTCCTGACCTCCTCAGGTGAGCATTCACTGCAGACACTCAGCCTATTTCTAGGCGGGTGTGATACACTGAAATAAGTCTAGTTTATGTTTTTCAGATATTTTTTTCTTCTTTATTTCAAATAAGATGTGTATCGTTTGTATAAGTACATATTAATGGATAGTAACTCAATGTTTTGTTTTTTTCAGAACAGGCTCCCAGAATTGGTATCCTTAGGGATACATTTTGTTTTACATATTTAGATGTGTTTGAATACTGATTCTCAAAAAAGCTGATAAATCTTTGAGTATGCCTTCTTTTAGAGTTCATATGAGATCACAAAATTCAGTAACTTTTATTTGATGATGCCCTTTAGACTTTGTGTGTGTTTACGAAAACATAATATAATAATTTTTATTATCATAATATCTTCTTTGAGAGACCATGCCTGATGACTAAGTTGAACATAATCTTGTTGTCAGGGGGTATTTTCCAATAACAGCTTTAACTTGGTTTAGTCTATTGAGGATTTAAAAGAAAAAAAATCACACAAGGCACACCTACGGGACAAGAAACACATTGACTGGAGAACTGGAGAGAAGACGTCTTAAAAATCATGTCATTAACACCACTTACAAAGGAACGGGCCATTGCAATCGGTAAAGATGCCTAAGCTTGCAGGGCTGGCTCTGAGGCAGCCGTATTGGAAACCGTTCAGAATTCCTCTCTGAGCTGCCCGGAATGCTGCGTCCCCTGGGACAGGCCCCGGTGAAAGAACTTTTGTGTTTTGCTTGACACTGAACTTGCTAATTGTTTGCCTTGCACTGTGAACTCGTGTGCCCCGAGAGTCCCTAATGCCCTGTCCTGACTCTTCCAGGGGCCTCCCCGATTCTGCCGGAAAAGGAGGCCAAGCAGCTCCTGAGGTCCAGGCGCCAGGACCGGCCGAGCAAGCCCGGCTTCCCGGATGAGCCCATGCGGGTGAGTGCTGGGCTCGGGCTGCGCGGGGGGAGAGTGCCATCCATCCATCCATCCATCCATCCATCCATCCATCCATCCATCCATCCATCCATACGTTCCTTCAGTAGGAAATCAGAATGGGTGCTGGCCCCAGCCCAGGGGGGTCTGCAGGATGCAGGTTCTGTTAGACCTAGAGTCAGGTGTCAGGTGACCTCACCTCCCACTCTTGCCCCCTCTCCTCCGGAGGGGCCAGCTTCCGTGCCTCCTGCTCACACAGTATTCAAAATGCAATCAGTCGCCCTAATCAGTTCGACTCCCGTCAAGGGCGTGTTGGACTTTGTCTTGTGTTCAGTGGAGGATGGTGGAGGATTTTCCAGGTGGGGATGCGCCCGCAACCAAGGCACATGCCCCTGACCGGAATTGAACCCGGGACCCTTCAGTCTGAAGGCCGACACTCTATCCACTGAGCCAAACCAGCTTTGGCCAGATTGGGGCTTTAGACAGATGGTTTGGGAAGCAATTAGAAGAGAGGACTCTGGATTGAAGTCTGAGGTCACAGTGCTCAGAGTTGGACAGAGTGAGAGGAATCTGAAGGGGCTGTGAAGGAATGCGAGGAGATTTAGGAGGAACCAAGGGAGGGTGGGGACCAAGCATGGGGAAGAGGGTTCAGAGGGGGGCGGGCCTGGGGGTGAGCAGGATGCCTGGCTTGGGGGTCCTTGGGGCTCCACCTGGCAAAGGCAGGAAGAGGTGGTTCCCCGTGAATCACGGGGCCTTAGGCTCCTAACTCCTTGGTCTCTGTGTCTTAGGACATGAGTCCTCGTGGCAGGTCTACCTGCCAGCCCCACCTTCCCTGTCTTCCATTTTGACCTTGACTCTGGTATCTGGGCTACGTGGAAGGACGGGCGGTGGCCAGGTTGGAAGGCCTGACTGGCACAGCAGACCTGTCCAAGGGCTCTGAGCGGAAGGTGATGTGATTGGAGCTGGTTTTCGGGAGCCTGTTAGAGTCTCAGGACACAGCCTGGCCTTCGAATGCCCATTCAGGGAAATGGCGCATGACATTTTTGGACCAGCGATTGCACCTCCTTGCCACGGTGCCCAGGAGACAGACAGGTGGGCCTGGATAAACCCGCAGAGGTAGTGATCTCTGGGGACGGCATGTGCCCTTGGGAGCTGAGCCCGGAGACTCGTGTGTTCACCACTAACTTTGAAATTACCGAGAGATGACGAGCTGGGTAATTTAATTTTGCTGCTTCCCTCTGAGGGACTGTGCAAAACAAAGCCCTTCTTGAGAGGAAGAGGCCGCAGATGAGGGTGAATGCACCGTGCTATGGGGTGGTATCAGGAACTAATTCAAAAGGAAGACAAGTGTGAAGATTTGAAGTAGTCTCATCCCAAGAGTATCTGCTAAGCCGTGTTCAGCATGTTGACACTTGGTTTAAATGTGGGCAGGTAGCTGAAACCAGTTTGGCTCAGTGGATAGAGCGTCGGCCTGTGGACTGAAAGATACCGGGTTCGATTCCGGTCAAGGGTATGTACCTTGGTTGCGGGCACATCCCCAGTAGGGGGTGTATAAGAGGCAGCTGATCGATGATTCTCTCTCAACAATGTTTCTAACTCTCCATCCCTCTCTCTTCCTCTCTGTAAAAAAATCAATAAAATATATGAAAAAATATAAAAAAATAAAAAATAAATGTGGGCAGATGTTGGCCTCTGAGGGGTGGTAGGGTTTCCAGAAGTGGGTTCAGGGCTGGGACTGGCTGCAGGTGCTCTTTTCTGAGCGCGTGGTGGGAAGGACAGAACGCTATGGGGAAGGTCAGGGGCTGCCCTGCATTTGGGAAGAAGGGCTGGCTTGCACCCAGAGGAGTGTGAGCATCTGGTTGGCACCCTTGATGGAGGAAAGGAAGGCCGCAGTGGGGATGGGGAGAGAAACCAACGGGGAGACGTGATCTGGGGAAGAAAGCAGCTGAGAGGAAGAGGCTGGAAGGTCCAGTGGTGGGGGACGAGAAGAGGGGTCAGAGAGAGAAAGAGGCAGGTGGGAGAGTAGGGGCTCAGAGGCACACTCCTGAGAAATTCCCGGTGGTAGGAAGCAGCTGATCCATTGACTTTATGACAACGCCTGACATTGAGTTTGAGGTTGTTTTCTGCAACCCGCAAATCTGAGGAAAAGTCTGCTAGGTGCAGCAACCTGTGCTAGTGGTTCTTCGGAGGAATGAGAGGTGGTCGGTGTGTGTGGGCGAAGGTGGCTGAAGAAAATTGAAGGAAAGCACTCGAGTTGGAAGCTGTGGTGGTGGAGAAACAGGTTATGAGACGAATTCAGGAGAAACATGGCTCCCAAGTCTTCAGAGATTTTGGGGACTAGGAGACTTGACATCATAGGAATGGGATGGGCCCTCCCGGAAGACTGGGATATTCCATGGGGACATCCCAGCTGGGGACATGTAGGGTTTAGCTCAATAAGCTTCAGGTTCAGCCAGGACCGGTTTGGCTCAATGGATAGAGCGTCGGCTTGGGGACTGAAGGGTCCCGGGTTCGATTCCGGTCAAGGGCATGTACCTTGGTTGCGGGCATATCCCCAGTAGGGGGTGTGCAGGAGGCAGCTGATCGATGACTCTCTCTCATCGATGTTTCTAACTCTCTATCTCTCTCCCTTCCTCTCTGTATAAAATCAATAAAATATATTAAAAAAAAAAATAAGCTTCAGGTTCTGATTTAGGACTCACTACACTGGTTTCATGAAGACATCGTGTGTAACGAAGCCTGAAGATCCTAATGGAGGGAAAACATTGCCGGGGGGAAAATTGATGGAGACAGAGCTGAGTAGAAAGAAGGACTGGGTGTGTGTTTAGAGGGAGGAAGGTGGAAAAATATTCTGAGCGTTCCCTGAACATTTTCTCAGTCATGACTGTGCTTATGTTTAATTTTCAGAATTTTAGACTAAACTCTTGCTGTTTCAAATGTGGGCCCAGCCCAGAACTCTGGGAAATTTATGCTCCAACCACCCAGAACTTCTCACTGGTTTTCAACTAGGCCCTCCTCTCTGCGCTCAGCGTCTTCTATCTCTGATCTCAGCATCTTTTCACAAATGATTCCCTTAAAAAAATTTTTTTTGATTGATTTCAGAGAGGAAAAGAGAGGGCGAGAGAGACAGAAACATCAATGATGAGAGAGTATCATTGATTGGCTGCCTCTTGCACACCCCGCACTGGAGATCAAGCCCGAAACCCAGGCATGAGCCCCGACTGGGAATCGAACTGTGACCTCCTGATTCATAGGTTGACGCCCAACCACTGCACCATGCTAGCCGGCCGGGCCACAAATGATTCTCTTTGCTTGCAATACCTTTTCCCATTAGTTCTTCCTCTTTATTCTCAATGTCACCTCCCCTCTCTCCCCTGGCCTCCTAATACTCACACATAAAACAATACTATGTATTTTATAGGTACATCTGCATAGTTGTACATGTCTAGGAAAAGGTCTAGAAATGCAATTAGTTGAATGTTAAGTATATTATCACATTGAGGAAACTAGGTGTGTTTGGAGTGCTTCGCTTGCAAACCTGCCTTTGTGCCCGTTTCTTCCGTTCCTGTTTACCTGGCTCACTCTTCTTCATTTATAGAGACTCACCTTCAATAATACCTTTTTCGAGAGGCCTTCATGATGCCCCCGCCCTCCTGCCATGAATCAGAGCATCCCTGTGGCATCAACTCACAGCACAAGATTGCTGTTTTTCACTTTGAAAAAAATCTGTCTCTCCTCCTCGTCTGCTCTAAACTACTTGAGCAGATGGACTGTTTCTCGCACTTCTGGGTCCCCAGCACCAAGCACAATATTTGACGTTTACTAAATGCTCATTATACTTATTTCCATTCCTTTTCTTGCTTCTCTCCTGGGGAGACGTTTGACAGGACATAACTCTACTGCAGAACCTGGAGACTGTTTCCTAGAAATCTCTTCTATCGCCTCCCTCAAATTCATTACATTTCTCATAACCGTCTCAAATTTTTAGGGAAGAAATTATTTGCCAACTGCTGGGGTGAAGCATGGAAATTCTTCAAAAGGATGACATCTCAGCTAAAATTATGTCTTTCGTAAGCACTTGTGCGTCCTGGGAATAGGCTTTCCATTTTGGCCTGTCTTCCTTTAAGGAATGTTCTCGTTGGGCAAGTATAAATCATATTAGCTTTATTGTACGGAGCCTTTGTGAATTACTCTTTCATGTTCAGCCCTTGACACATGTGTGCAGTCACTCCATTACCCTTTTGTTCCCCGTGATCTCAAAGACCAGATCGGAGTGACTGAGATCAGTACGTTGTGCGCATCACTGACCTGCCTCCTTTCAGGGCTGAGCAGGCCTGCAAGTGTCGCAGTGAAGGTAACTTCAGAGCCACCCTTCTGTCCCAGCGAGCACCTGCTTTCCCTACTGAGCAGAATAACTCATCCACACGCTGCTGGGCCTTCAGTTCCATGCAAACGCCTGAGGAAGGATTTTGTCTTCTTGAGAACCATTTGCTCTTTATTTATTTATTTTTAAAAATATATTTTATTGATTTTTTACAGAGAGGAAGGGAGAGAGGAATAGAAAGCTAGAAACGTCGATGAGAGAGAAACATCGACTAGCTGCCTCCTGCACACCCCCTACTGGAGATGTGCCCGCAACCAATGTACATGCCCTTGACCGGAATCGAACCTGGGATCTATCTGTCTGCAGGCCGACGCGCTATCAACTGAGCCAAACCGGTTTGCTCTTTAATAGATTAACTGTTTATGATTCTCAGCTTAGATCAGGTTCTGATGGATATTTTATTTTATTTTAAAAAATATTTTTATTTAATTCAGAGAGGAACGGAGAAGGAGAGATAGAAACATCAATGACAAGAGAGAATCTTTGATTGGCTGCCTCCTGCATACCCCCCCGTTGGGAATTGAGCCCACCATTTAGGCATGTGCCCTGACCGGGAATCAAACCGTGACCTCTTGGTTCATAGCTTGACGCTCAACCACTGAGCAATACCAGCCGGGCAAGTATATAATTTCATTATCACACCACTCCAGTGCCATAAAAAGGGGCCACTTTCAATCTCTGCTTTAATTATGGTTAAATTACTTACTTCCATTATTATCCTTGGCATTGACCATGAAGCAACAGATATTGGTTTTTGCTTTGTTTTCAAAATTTTTTCCCCCTCGAAGAAAGGAATCTAAAAAGAAATTAAAATTTATTTTCCATCTAACTCTTCTTTCTTGATCCAGGAACATTTGAGATGATCATTAATGTCGGGTCATTTCTAACTCAGCCAACACAATTGTTGAATTTGTGGTTTTCAGCAGATTTGCAGTTGGGCTTTTCATCTTTGACTAATGATTGCTTGTAGGCCTTTGTGGCATATTTATTTTCCTAACATTTTAAATAAATAGTGAACTGTCATGGAAACCAGTGCTCGTTTCTCTCTCTCTTCCTCTCTCTCTCTCTGTGTTTTGGTTGTTTTTCTGCAACTATGATTTCAGCTGCTACTCAGGAGTGTGAAATACATAAGTACATTTGGACTGGGCTATTGCAATGAGCCGATTGACACAGATGTTGGGGGGTCCTTCCAAAGAGGATTTGCTAAGATTATGGAGAAAGAACAGTCAATTAATTAATTCACTCACTCACTCACTCACTCACTCACTTTTTTTTTTTTTTTTAAAATATTTTTCCAGTAAGTTTTATTGGGGTCCTATTATGTGCCACGCACTAGGTACTTTGGTCATTGCTATAAAAAAGGCAGGTGGATGTGGGCCGAGTGGGACCAGAATTAAATGAATCAGAAGGCAAATGAAGGTATACTTACAAAAAGTGTATAGCCCAATTGGCATGGCTCAGTGATTGAGCATTGACCTATGAACCAGGAGGTGACGGTTCGATTCCTGGTCAGGGCACATGCCCAGGTTGTGACTCAATCCCTAATAGGGAGTGTGCTGGAGACAGCCGACTGATGATTTTCTCTCATCATTGATGTTTCTTTCTTCCTCTCCCTCTCCCTTCCTCTCTGTAATCAATAAAAGTATATTAAAAAATAAAATAAAATAAAATAAAATGAAATAAAAGGTGTATCAATGCTTATCATTTTGTGACAAGTCCTGTCTATAGCTTTTCTTGAAGGAACAAGCTCACTTTCTTCATTTTCGAGAAGATGTCTGCCAAACAAGCACACACGACACTGCTAGTTCAAACCTTGATACCAACAATCATCCAAGTGCTTTTCCCCACAAAGACCATTGTACTTGGCTATGCAGCCTGCATGCTTCCTGCTGTGTCATGACTTGGTTCAATGAAACTGACATTTGAAGAACGTTTTACATTTATTTATCTACTAGAGGCTTGGTGCACGAATTTGTGCATGGGTCCCTCAGCCTGGCCAGTGATTGAGGTGTATTGGAGGGTTGGCTGGCTGGTGGGGAGGGACCACAGGAGGTTGGCTGGCCACCCCCCCCAATTGGGGCCTCTGTGGAGGGGGCAGCCGCTCGGAGGAGAGACTGTGGGAGGTTGGCCAGTGGACCCCCAATTGGGGCTGGGAGGTTGGCTATGGGAGTACACTGACCACCTCAGGGCAGCTCCTGCATTGAGTGTCTGCCCCCTGGTGGTCAGTGTGCATCATAGCAACTGGTAACTTGTCACTTAGGCTTTTATATATATATTTTAAATTGTGAGTGTGTGATGGTGAAGGATACAACTTTATTTTAATTTATGTTTTATTGATTTTTTAAAAGAGAGACACATTGATTTGTTCCACTTATTTATACATTCATTGGTTGATTCTTGTATGTGCCCTGAGGGAGGATTGAACCCATAACCTTGGCCTATCGGGACGTTGTTCTAACCAACTGAGCTACCCAGAGAGGGCACAATGACTTCTAGGATAGTGGGAGCCACCGCCTTGACTTCTGCTAGGCCACCAGTTTTATCCATCCATGCACACGATCAGAAGGCAACTAAGTCATGTCTTAGTATTGTTCTAAAAATAGTTTTGACCTCACAGACCCCCGGGGGGGGGGGCACATGTTGAGGCCCTCTGCTTCAGTCTTGCATTCAGCAGGCGTTTATTGCAAGTTTCCTGTGAACCGGTTCAGGGGAGAGATGCTTAATGCACAACCTCGAGACATACTCAGGTCTTTCTCTTCTAATAGTAACCAGAATCACCCGAGAGCTTAACAAAGAGACTTGTTGCAAAGCTGTCCCAGGATTAAGGGAAAACCAACAAGAGATGATCACGGATCCAGGGCTAATAGCCCTTAGTCCTGAAGAGGGAAGGGAAAGGCATGGTTCCAGGCTTGGAGAGTGTAGCCTTTGAGGAGATGGGTCTTCAGGAGAGGGAGGCAGCCAGCCTTCTGGGACTCCTTGGGGAGGGACCAGGAGCAAACACCCAGCCTCTCTCCTCTTTCCCCTACGTCATACCCACTGGAAGCCCCTGGACAAGGGTGTCTGTGCTTGCAGTTCATCCAGGTTGGTCTCTCCCTGCTCGGGGCCATGTGAAGGAGGGGTGATACAGGTTTAGAGGGGCAAAAAGGGGTATTTGGTACAGAACTTTATAATTTAATTGAATCCTGGCAACTCAGTGAAATAAGTGCTAGTGTCTCCCCCATTTTGCAGATGGACAAATTGAGTCTGGAGTAAAGCAACATTGGCAGAGTCTGGCTTTGAACCAGACGCTGACCCAGACCTCTTAGCCTCTCCACCACATTGCCCAGCAACCAGGTAACATGGGTTCCTTCAGCCCACTGCTCACAGGGAACAGCTGAATAAGCAAAGCTATGTGTTGGGAAGTCTTTGTTCCTTATTTACAAGACTCCACAGTGCCTTCCTGTTCCTCCCACTTATTATTCTTCTGGCCAAACACTCCCCAGAGAGGGCAGGACAGGGCAGAATTCAGTCCAAAACTCACAACCTCATTCAGCAAGCTCCTGGGGTATCAGCGCTGGGTTCCATGAGGAGCCTTCTCGCCATCCACTCCCACCTTGGCTGCCCCAGAGCTGTCCTGCCCACAGGACATGGGGTGCATTTCAATGAGTTAAATAAAAACATCCATGATAACCAAAACAATTCAAACTGCATAGGTCCTAGGGGAAGGAAAAAACAATTCAGGAAAATTAGACTCCTTATCATTCATTTATTTGCACTGTCATTAAACAGTTCTTATTTATTTTTCTTTTCTAAAAATATTTAAAAAAATACATTTTAAACGATTTTTCAAGAGAGGAAGAGAAAGAGGGAGAGAGAGAGAGAAACATCAATGTGCAGAGCAAAATATTAATCAGCTGCCTCCTGCACGCCCTCTACAGAGGATTGAACCCGAAACCCAGGCAAGTGCCCTGACTGGGAATTGAACCGGCAACCTTTCGATGTACACAGGATGACACCCAATGAGGGCAAAGCCTGTTTTATTTGATAATAAGGTACCCTGTTTCCCCGAAAATAAGACAGTGTCTTATATTAATTTTTTCTCCCAAAGTTGCGCTAGGTCTTATTTTCAGGGGATGTCTTATCTTTCTGTGCAATAGGTCTTATTTTTGGAGAATGTCTTATTTTGGGGGAAACACGGTAGTACAGCAAATTCAGCTTCCTTGTGGTTATCCCTTGCATTAAAAAAAAAGATGATTTTTATCACAAATGCATGCAGCCATAACTAATCTATTATTGTGTATGTCTTGAGGTTTATAAAAATGGTGCCACATTATAAATGCCTTACTGGATTTGCTTTGTGTGTTTTTTCTTTCTCTCAACGTGCTGTTTCGAGGACTCATCTATGTTGTTGTATGTAGCTAAATGGATTTCTAGGTATATACAACACTGCTGAACAATATTCCATGGCGAAACCCTACTTTAATTTATTTATGCATTCTCTCATCAGTGGTATTAGGCATTTGGTTTCCAGTGTTTTGCTGCTACAGACTTACTGCTGCTGAGCACAACCTTCTGCACAGTTCTTGATTTAAGAGATTCTCTGGCCTCGAAGTGATCAGCGGCATCAGCACAGGCTTGGAACTTGTTAGAAATGCAAATTCTGGGGCCTCAGACCCTCTGAAATAGAATCTCTGGGGGCGAAGCCCAGCAGCCCGTGTTTTCACAAGCCCTCCAGGTCATCCTGACGGCAGATAGTGTCTGAGGAGCACAGGGCCGGGGTGTGAACGGGGAGTGAGGTTTCTGGATCTCAGGCAGCCATTTGTTTTCCTCAGTGGCTGGTCCATGTTACCCCCCATCAGTGTAGACGCGTTCCCACGGATACACACCCTCTCAGCACTTAGGGTTGTCAGATTTCCTCCTTTTGCCCACTGAGTGGGTCCGTGGTCTCCACGGAGGCCTGGGCGTGGCGGTTTCTCCTCCCTCGGTCTGGCGGCTTCCTGTCTCAGGACCACAGCCACGCTGAGCATCCGCAGCTCTCGATCCCTCGGATAAAGGCTCTCTTCCCGGGGGGTTTGTTCTGACAGGAGTACATGCACCACCTGCTCCGCCTGGAGCACCGCGCCGAGGAGCAGTTCCTGGAGCACTGGCTGAACCCGCACTGCAAGCCGCACTGCGACAGGAACCTGGTCCACCCCGTGTAGGGGCTCGGCGTCCGCTCCGGTAGGTGGGTTCCCTCAGGCCTTCTGTTTCAGGGCGACTGCCGTGCACGGGCTCAGAGGCCCCCAGAACACGCACCAGGGAAACAGCCGTTAGCCGGTCATGTTGAAAGAGCGGGGCTGGGGAGATAGGGGGCAGCCAGGGTGCGAGGGGCTCTGGGGGACACGCAAGGGACCCTGACCCCGATCAGCTCACCAAGAGATCCCAAGTAGGGGAGGGACGTGACCCTATTTGCTGTCCAGAAAAGGTCATTCTGGAATACAAATTGGACAGGCGTGGTTTGTTGGGGCTTGGGTCTGTCCAGGTGGGGGCAGCATCCTTGGGCTCAGCCACTAACACCCATCATCAGCATCCTCACCGCTGTCACCAGGATCAGCAATTCCTTTCCTGCCTTCCCATAGTCCTCCAGGCTGGGACTGTGCCTGGCCCGTCTTCCCTCTTCCTCTGGGCTTAGTCTTCCGTCCCCCTGAGCAGGCCTGCTCCCACCTCTGCCTCCCTCCCCCATCCTGCACCGGGTTCCTACACGAGCCTGTGGTTTCTTCCCTCACTGTCTACATCCATCCCCTTCCCCCTTCCCGAATCCTATTAGATAAAGTAGCAAATCCCTTCGGAGGTTAAGCCTGGTGAATGTCATTCCTCCTCGGTCACTTGTGTGAACAGAGCCGGGCAGGGTGCAGTCGGGCACCCCCTCTGGTTATGGTTAAGAGGTCCTGTGTCTTTGTGGTAATTTTGTGCTGCTGGGAATGGGCTCGGGGACATACGCTTCTGAGCATCGCTCTCTGTAATTACGGGGGTGCTCTCACCCACGTTCTCTCATTTGATCCCCTTAAGACTCCTGTGTCCTTTCAGGGTGTGCAATTTAAAAAAATAATTGTATCTTCTGTTTAAAAAAATATATTTTATTGATGTTTTACAGAGAGGAAGAGAGAGGGATAGAGAGTTAGAAACATTGATGAGAGAGAAACATGGATCAGCTGCCTCCTACACACCCCCCCCCCCCCCACCTGGGATGTGCCCGCAACCAAGGTACATGCCTTTGACTGTAATTAAACCTGGGACCCTTCAGTCCACAGGCCGACGCTCTATCCACTGAGCAAAACCGGTTTCAACCAAGATGTGCATTTCAATCCAGTTTTATAGAGGGCCTCAATGAGCCTGATTAAGCTACTGCCTGGTGCTGGGCCGTGGTTGGTATGCCAGCCTTCTGACCACTCCAGTTCTGTACACTTTATGTGGACGGCAGTGAGGGGTCCTGTGTGTATGTGTGTGTGTGTGTGTGTGTGTGTGTGTGTGACATGGAGTCCCTCTGAGGGGCTTTAACAGACAGAGGAGCGTCTGCTGGGAATGGCACAGAGGTTCTGCTTTTGAGGCTCCGCGGGAGGCCTCCTTGTTTCGGCTCCTGCAGCCTCTGGAGTCTGCTCCTCCGCTTGCACAGAGACCCTGGGCCTCCGGCACCTGAAGTCCGAGCTTGGCTTCTTCCAGAAAACACAGCCGGGAGCAGTTAGGAGCTCAGACTCTGGAACCGGGCAGACTTGGGTTCCGCTTTCCATGTTTCCGCTCTGTGGCCTTGGGCAAGTGGCCTAACCTCTCTGAGCCTCCGTTTCTGCACCTGTAAACAGGGGCAATGACGATACCTATGGGGTCTGGCACCCAGTCAGTGCCTCCATGATTGGAGGCACCTATTACTGCTGCGAAGGCCAGGCAAGAGGAGGGGTTTGGGGGTGAGTGAGCCGCAGGGCAGCACCCTCAGAGGGGCCACTGAGATCTCTGCCTCTGGGTAGGACAGGCCGTGCTGGTGAGCTGGGGTGGGGGTGGGTGGCTCCTGAAAACAGGATTCTGCAGAGGCCCCCCTCCTAACAGCTCCACTGACACGAGGACGAGGATGCTGGAGGCAATGGTCAGCTTGGAATCAGGAGGCCCAGAGCATTCAGATCGAGACTCCACTTGGGGAAAACTTCCCCGAGGCTCTGTCAGGCTCCTCACCTGTGCAACGAGGACAGTGAGAGCTCCTCCCTCACGTGGCGGATCTGGTTCTGAGCCTGAGAAAGTCAGTGCCTGGAAAGCAGGCTGCCTGGCATGTCCCAGGAAGTGACAGCCATCCCCCCCTCCTTCTAAATCCCTCTCTCTCTTCCTCCTCCCCGCCCCTCCTCGCCCTCCATCTTCTCGGCATCATGCTCACTGTGTCTTCTCGTTCTTTCCCAGGGAGCCCTCTGATAACACGGACCTGGAGAATGGCGGAACAGGAGGAGGCTCCTCCTTGCATTTATTTCTTTCAGCTGCGGAAACGGATGTCGATCAGACCTTAGGACCTGTGGCCACGGCAGAGATGGCCGTGGGGATCGATGGCAAATGCGCGTGCTGCTTCATTTTACTGACCTGCACCACTCACCGAGACCACTGCTTAGAGTAGTGACCCCCCCTACCCCAGGGCTTCCTCCCCGTTGGAAGGGTGGGCAGCACCAGGGTCTCCCTGGGGCAGAGGGAGCTGGGCCTCCAGAGCCTGGGGCCTTCGGGAGGTCTAGTTTGGCAGCGTGGAGCATCACCTGGGGCCGTGGAGGTGTGTGGTCACCTATTTCCTCCTTATCTTCTGCTCTAATAAACATCCGTGTTCAACCAGCTTTCTGTGTGTGGTGCCTCCTTTTCTCTCCTCCCCTCCCCCCACCCATTGTTTATCCTTGCGAATCCAGAATCAGAAAACTCACCGTTCTCGGAATACACGAGTGGATGAAAATACAAACACCCAGCAATTTTTCACAAGGGCAATCTTTTTTTGGAGTGTCAATCCTCACCTAGGATATTTTTTCCCCATTGCTTTTTAGAGAGGGTGGAAGGGGAAGGAGAGAAAGAGCGAGAGAAACATTGATGGGAGAGAGAAACATGGATTGGTTGCCTGCTGTACATGCCCCAAGCAGGATTGAACCCATAACCTAGGTATGTGCCCTGGCCAGCAATAGAACCTGGGACCTTTTTGGTGTACGATAGGACGACGCTCCAACCATTGAACACCCCCCCGCCCCACCACTGGGCAGCTTTTTTTTTTTCCCTGCAAAAAACTTTATTGTTTCTATTTGGTCCAATGCATGGGAGAGGGCTCCCGGTTACAAGGCTGCCCCGTGGTTTCAGGGAGAGGCTCAGGCAAAAGCCAGACCCCAGGGGGATGCAGAGGGTCCCCTCAGAGGCCTGGGCTCCTAAGGGTCCTGGTGGTGCTGGAGGGTGAGCCTTTTGAAGGGACACTCGCCCAGCCCTGCCTGGGGGCCGGCAGCCTGGGAGGTGTCCAGTGTTGCCCATCTTGATGCATTTCACCTGCTCACTCCGGAAGTGGTTCTGCAGGAAGACACGGAGCTGAGGGGCTGTCACGGGTCTGCAGCTCCCAAAGGTCAGGCTCCTCTCCTAGGCCAGGGCGGCTTCCATGGCGCCCTGAGTTTTGCCCACTTCTCCTAAGAGGCCTCGGCACGTCCTGGAAGAGAGTTTGCAGCGTTAAGAGACTCCAGTGCCCTTTCGAGGCCCACGCCCGGGAGAGCCACATCCTGGCGGTGGCCATGAAGCCCGGAGAGAGGTAGGTGCCGGAGGCCCGGATGCCGGCTGGCCGGGCGGTGGACAGCAGCCTCCACCGCGGGGGAATCATTCTGGCCAGTGTGGGAGCTCGCGGTTGTTTGGCAATAAGGAGTGAAGGTCAGAAAACGGTGTCTGGTCTCGGAGGCTGAGGATGGTGACAAGGTTCCGGAGGTGATGACTGGAAAAGAGGTGGAGGGAGGTCAGAGGTGGAAGGAGGAGTGTCCCTGGCTCTGCTCCGTCCAAACGTGGCTGAAGCAAGACAGATGGGAGGTGGAGTGTGGGGGAGGGGGGGGCACGGCTGGCATATGTCTTTCAGCGTTGTCCATTTTGTAGTGTGGGTCAGTCCCCGGGTCCATTTGTGGTGACTGATAGGCCCGTTGTATGGAAACACCACACTGGGCTCATCCATTCGTAATTGGATGGACATTTGCTTTCTTGTCACCTGTCGGCTGTTGTGAATGGTGCTGCTGTGAACATTCGGGTACACATTTGGGTTTTGAGTCTCTGTTTTCCGGAGTGTATCTAGGAGTGGAATTGCAGGTCATAAGGCAATTCTGTGTTTAACTTTCCGAGGAACCACCAAACTGTCTATGACAGGGGCTGCCCCATGTTACATCCCCACCAGCATTGTCCGAGGGTTCCAAGTTCTCCTCGTCCTTGCCAACACTTGTTATCTTTGTAAATTATAGCCATCCAGCTCTACCCGGTTTGGGTGAGTGGATAGAGCTTCTGCCTGCAGACTGAAGGGTCCCAGGTTCAATTCCGGTCAAGGGCACATGCCCAAGTTGAGTGCTCAATCCCCAGTAGGGGGCATGCAAGAGGCAGCCAATCAATGATTCTCTCATCATTGATCTTTCTATCTCTCCCTCTCCCATTCTCTCTGAAATAAAAAAAAATATATTAAAAAAATAAATTATAGCCATCTGAGGGGGTGTGAAGGGGTATCTTATTGTGGTTTTGATCGCACTTTCCTAATGACTAATGCTATCGACCACCTTTTCACAGGTTTATTGGCCATTTATGTATCTTTGGAGAAATGTCTATTTAAATCCTTTACCCATTTAAAAATTCAGTTGTTGCCTTTTTGTGGTTGAAGGGGCTGGTGTTTCTGTGGTGGCCAGGAGCAGAGCCTACTTGAAGGTGGAATCTTGGACAAGTAGCTGGAACTGTCCTGTCTCATTTCCCCCTCCTGTAACACGAGGACAATAACAGAGCTTACGATGAGGGACGGTTGTGGAGATGAAATGACTGACTGTGTGTAAAGCGCTTGGAACTTGGCCTGGCGCAGAGTCGGTTCGTGCTATGCAACTGATAGCCCCTGTTACACAGGAGATGAGACTAACAATAGTAACTCACCAAGAAATCACCAGATCCATAGCTGCTGGGAAGAAAACACGCCGGTGATGCAAGAGAGTGACTGGAAGGCTAT